GAGCTTCCAAGTCCAGCTCTAAAAGCAAGCTGCAGGTGGAAGCTCAGCAATAGATGAGCCCTGTGCATCCTTCAAAGCCACCCAGATGTGAGGGCTCTGATGCGGGCAGTGAAGGGTGGAAGGGTAGACCAGGACCTCAGGAGAGAACATGGAGAATGCATGCTGGTCTACCCATCAGGATGGGCACCCACCAAGCAGGAGAAAGTTGCCCTCTAGCTCCAACTTTTACTGAGTTATTATCTAAATCTCATCATCTCACACAAAATCAGGTGTGGATAAATGACAAAACATGTATCAGCTTGACCGGTGTGACTCAGTTGGTTGAGCAACCTCCCACAAAGTCAAAGGTCACCTGGTTTGATTCCCAATCAGGACACATTACTGGGTTGCAGGCTGGTCCCTGGTTTGGGTGTGTGCAAGAGGCAGCCTACTGATGTTTCTCTCTCACATCAATGTTTCTCTCCCTCTCTTTCTACCTCCCTTCCCCTCTCTCTAAAATATATATAAATAAAATCTAAAACCCCCCCCCACACACATATCAGGTAGTGGTAAAAACAGGGATGCAGAGTGGCTGTGAGGAGGGGTGTGCATTTGGCCAGGGGGGCTGAGCTGGCCACTGTGTGCACCCACAATCTCAGTGATGGCTTTCTAACACCAGCAGAGGTGTACAGAGAGAAAGGGGGGACATGCAGGTAACGCTGACCAAGCTCAGCCTGATCGTTCCTTACAGGATAAAAAATTTAAAATAATACGAGTACTCAATACAATATACAGATGATATATTACCAAATTGTACATCTGAAACATATAATTCTATTAACTGATGTCACCCCAATAGACTCAATAAAATTTTTTAAATTGATAAAATAATACAATGGATGCTAATTACAGAAAAACAATAAAAAATGCATACATGCAAAAAAATAACATAATTATCCAGAAAGACCACCAGTGGTAGTGATATATTTTTGAAGTCTACCTATTTATACTTTTTTCCAATAGGTGTGTGTTAATATATTTTTAACAAAAATAGGATCAAACCACCCATGACTGTCCTGTTTTTCTCACTTACCACTATATATAAAACATTTTCTTATGTCAATATATTTAAATCTACATAATAGTGATCAAATTCCCATGGCATTCTATTTTATACATATGATTTCATGTATTTTTATGCATAAGAATGTAACCAATCTGCTATAATTGTATATCCAGGTTTATGAATTGTTACATTATACAATGTTTTAATAATAATCTTCAGGTGTAACTCTTCATATCCTTCTCTTATTTCCTTGGAATACATATTTATAGATATAATTTCTGGGTCAAAGGATACATGTGATTGAAGCTCTGGCAAACAGTGACACACTGTCTCAGCCAGCTGCACTCCACGTGTATCCCACCCTCCTGCACCAGGGCAGACTTTGTTATTGGTGACTGATTTCGCCGAATCCTGGGGACGTTGACATTCAGTGTCCAGGCAGAGGAGGAAAATGCTAACAGCGAACATTAATACAAGCCCTGCTGTGTGTCTGGCACTGTAGGCTAACTCACTCCTCCCAGCAGCTCTCCACATAAGATCTGCCCTTAATCCTCCACAGACAGCAGTGCAGTCACTCAGGGCTTGCTCACAGTCAGAATGCTGGGCCATGGAGGGCCCACGCCCTTGCCTGCGGGGAGTCTAACAGCATCAAGTATCACTGAGGGAATGTGGGGAGGGTCTGGATACTGACCTTAGGGTCTGGCAGGGGCAGCTCTGTGGACCTTGACAAGGCAGGTCTGGTGTAAGATCGAGTGGTGACAGCAAGGACAGTTGTCAAAGGGACAGATTTGGGTGGTTACTGCAAGTGGATGTGCTGCCAAAGGGCGTGCCCGCCTGCTTATGTGCAGTGGAAGCAGAGACGGGCAGCGAGGCAGAAGTCAAAGCCTTGAAGCGACGAGAGGAAAGAAAGCAACATGCAGAAGGGACATGAAGGACCGGGGTCACCAGCTGAAGAGGAGGGGCTGAGGGTGCAGGGACCACAAAGGAGAAGAGGAGGCATGGCCCAGAGGTTGAAGAAAAATGGGAGATGGTGGCATCCAGGACACGAGGGGCAGAAAAGCTACCACTAAGTAAGCTGAATGCTGCTAAAAGGCACAAGGCCAGGGGAGAACTGAGGATGTGAGTGCAAGCAATTTCAAGGGTAGAGGGAGCATTGCCAGTGGAGAGGGGAGGGGAGGAGAGGCAGTGGTAGGATGTGGGGGCAGAGGAAGCACACTGCGAGCTCTACTCCCCTGGGGGGTCGGCCAGCTCTGGGTGCTCAGTGGCTTTGTGTCCATTGGAATGAGTTGGGCTAATGGTTGTTCACATCTCTTCCATAGCTGTGGGTTTTCTGTCTTAGAGGATTCCACCCATTACTTCTGTAGCCATGTCCTGTGCATACATGGAGTGATATGCTTAGCAAAGAGCACATGGATATCTGCCAAATGTGGCCAGGCCAAAAGCAGGCAACAAGCAATGCAGGTCTTATGGATGTGGGCAGGCTGTAAAAGAGACAGAGACCAGCAGGAGCCCCCTTTGGCTCCTGGCTCCTAGCCTGGGGGTATTCCCAGCCCATCCTCTACCATGTACCTGAAGAACTCTGGTCAGTCCCAGCTCTAGTTTACATAACCAGCCTTGCTCTTGACCACAGCCTGGGACATGCCAGTTGTGTGAAAGGAGCCATTTCCTTAGGCTCCTCTCCAAACCCAGAACAGACTGGCAATCTGCTGTGACCAGTCACTGACGTACAGCCGACACAGACACCTGGAGGCTGAAATGGTTTTAACCTTCCTCCATGGAAAGAAGAACAAAGCAAAGATCAAAACAGCACAGGACACAGGCTTATGGAATTGGGTCAAGCACGATGGGATTAAAAATGCTGAACTGCAATTCAAAAAACACTAAAACCGGACAGGCAGCATCTAGGCAAGGTGGGCAAGGAAGCTGGTACTGAGAGGAATGGTGACCTTCAGAGAGTTGACAAGGAGGTCCTTATTAAGTCTTGTGACTTTTTAAAGTATTTTTATTGATTATACTATTACATTTTCCCAATTTTTCCCCTTTATTCCCCCCTCTGCCCTGTAGCCCCCAATCCCCCAGCATATCCCCCCCTTAGTTCATGTACATGGGTTGCACATATAAGTTCTTTGAGTCCTGTTTCCTATACCATTTTTATCTCTCCCCGTCTATTTTATGCCTACTAATTATGCTGCTTCTTCCCTGTACTTCCCCCCACTATTCCTCCCTTCCCTCTCCCTACTGAACTCCCTCCACATGATGTGCATTTCTCTGATTCTATTCCTGTCCTGCTTGTTTGCTTAGTTTTTGTTTTCATTGTTTTTCTTTTCTTTTAGGTTCAGTGAGTTTGCTATCATTTTACTGTTCATATTTTTTATCTTCTTTTTCTTAGATAAGTCCCTTTAACATTTCATATAATAATGGCTTGGTGATGATGAACTCCTTTCACTTGACCTTATCTGGGAAGCACTTTATCTGCCCTTCCATTCTAAATGAAAGCTTTGCTGGCTAGAGTAAACTTGGATGTAGGTCCTTGCCTTTCATGACTTCAAATACTTCTTTCCAGCCCCTTCTTGCCTGCAAGGTTTCTTTTGAGAAATCAGCTGATAGCCTTATGGGCACTCCTTTGTAGGTAACTCTGTCCCTTTCTCTTGCTTCTTTTAGGATTCTCTTTTTATATTTAATCTTGGGTAACTTAAAGATAATGTTCCTCGGTGTGTGCCTCTTTGGGTCCAACTTCTTTGGGACTCTCTGGGCTTCCTGTACTTCCTGGAAGTCTATTTCCTTGGCCAGATTGGGGAAGTTCTCCTTCATTATTTGTCCAAATAAGTTTTCAATTTCTTGCTGTTGTTCTTCTCCTTCTGGCACCCCTATGATTCGGATACTGGAACACTTCAGGTGGTCCCAGAGGTTTGTAAGATTCTCTTCACTTTTTTGAATTCTTGTTTCTTCATTCTGTTCTGGTTGGATGTTTGTTTTTTCCTTTTGTTCCATTATTGCTTTGAGTCCTGCTTTCCTTCCTGTCACTGTTGGATCCCTGAATATTTTGCTGTATTTCATTTTGGGTATCTTTCATTTCCTTTTTCATTTTCGACCAAGCTCAATCAGATCTTTTAAGATGCACATGCACCTGGGAGGTATGTTAACTCAGACCTATTGAACGTTTGTGTTGGGAATCTGGGTTAACACATGAAACGGCTTGAAGGAGACTCCCTGTGGCTGCTGTTGTGGCTGTAGGTGAATAAGACATACTTGAGTGTATTCTTAAGGTTTTGGCAGTGCCTCTTAATGTAAAACACATGGGGGAATAATCTAGAACTGGGTTGGAGAGGGCTAAGGCATGTGAGCTGCAGAAGGAACCTGTGAGGCCCAATTTACAGGTAGAAACTGGTCGGAGAAAGTCAGTCCTGCAGGCTCAGAACTTTAAGGACCATCAGAGAGAATGTGGACCTCAGGGTGGAGCATACAGCAGCACACAGAACACATGCTGCTGCATACACACACACTGACATAGAGACACACACGCTCCTGCACACACATTCCTGTGCAAATATACACACATTCCTATACTGGAACACACATGCACATATACTCCTGCAAACATGCACTCATGCTTCTACATGTGTTTCTGACACATTCTCATAGACACTGGCACACATGTTCCTGCACACACAATAATGCACACATGCTTCTACGCACATACACATAACTATACACACACGTTCCTATAAACTATACGCACACAATAATGCACACAAGCTTCTACACACATACACATAACTATACACACACACGTTCCTACACCCATACACGTGTGCTCTCCTGCACACATAGTTTTGCACCCCTCCCCCACACACACACACTCATGCACACCACACACATGCTAGGACTGTCAGCAGAGCCAGGCCAGTGTGCAGTGCTTAGCACAGGACCATGCATGAGGCTGGTGCCCACTCACAGGGAACCAGTAAAGAAGCTGACAACAGACCCAGCTCTTCAGATTCCCCACCCAGCATTCTTTACAAAATGGCAGGATGAAGCTCTATGGGAGTAAAAACGGGGAACACTTAGAGGAAAACAGTTCAAAGGGTTGCTGTGCTTGACAAAAATTCAAAGCAAAGAGAAACATTTCTGCCTCAGTGCTGACCTGCTCCTGCAAGCACAGACCAGCTTCTTCCAATGCCAGCTCAGCACAAAGTGACGTCTCCAGAGTCAGCAAGGCAAGAGGTCCCCACATTATCACATTATTGCATCGCCTGCCTTTCTTTGTCAAATATCCCCTCTCCTGGTCTGACTTGCTCCCAGGCACTGCTTCCCATGACACTCTGTCATGGACTAAAGACAGTGAAGTGCAGGTGGGCCACATGGAACATACTTCACTTTCAAAGGTAAGTCTGACTTTGTTACATACATTCTCAGTAAACAAAAAAATGAGCAAACGAAAGATACTTTACAGCAACTCACCTTCCCCCATAAGCGGCTCTAAGAGTCAGAGCAGATCCATAGACACAAATGTTCAGACTTGTCGTAACTTAGAGCATCATAACTGGAACTGGTGATTTACAGAAGGCCTGACTTTTGTCTTGAAGCACAACTACCTAAAACACAAAAACACAGGGCATATGAGCTTACAAATTTATGACCCTGTCCACTAGGTTCAAGAGAATGGCTTTCTTGCATTCAACAGAGCAGCAAACATGTCTTAAAAGCATTCAGGTACAAGGCAGGTACAGAGTATGGAAATGCAGTGCCAGTGAGGACTTACCCTGGAGCACTGCCCTATCATAACCCTAATGAGGCAGCTCAAAACATGAGGAGGCTTCCATTTTATAAATGAGAAGTCCAAAAGAAGTTTTTTGGTAAAGCTGTGCAAACTTTTGAGAATGTAAATAAAACACTCAACTTTTCATTTATAATATTTAGTATATTTCTATGTATTTATACTGATTTAAAAATAACATTTATGAAATTATGTATTAATTTAAACACATAGCTGGTTCCGCTTTCATGGCTAGTATAAATAATTTAATTCAAACTCTTCCATTTCAGCATGCAATTTTGTCTAAATAGAGCCACCTTCTGTACCATCTGATGTTTTTCTAGAGTGTATTATTTTTGCCTTGGTCTATCTAAGGCTTTGAACTTTCTACATTTTGAATTCATGTTTATAACTCAAATTGGAAATTTAATCCTTAGTCACAAGTACCCATTTTTATAAAATTATCCTCTTTGCTGAGTTTTCCAATCTATTCCATAGGTATATATATATTTATGGCCTTTACAAATTATTGCTTTACACATCTTAAAAGGCTTGTTTAAAACAGTGTCTCAATATTTGGAATTGTGAGGTCATAGCACCAAAAGTAATTAGAAAGCTATGTTAAACATCTTTGCTTTTCTCTGAGTCAATCAGGTAACCACTGTAGGCAATAAACCACAGCAATGGCTGAATTTGTCTCAAGCTAAAATGTCATATCCATATGCTATGTTTAGGTTCAACTGGAATGTGAGAAAATACCACATGTAAGAAAATTCCATGTAAGATGACATTGAGTAAAAAAACCTTCCTTTCATATGGTCACACAGCATCTCACTTGAGAAGACAGTCACACACAAGTGCAGTCCAAGGTTTAACGTGTTACTGATCAGAGAATTAGAGGGGCCTGATTGTTGAGTTGGGCTTAAGGTCAAAGAGTGAGAATTCATCAGAAAGCAATGGAAGACTTTTTAACAGGGGGCTAAGAAAATTCAAAGGTGAAAGAATAGTCTATGTAACATACGGTGCTAGAAAAACTGTGTATCCACATGCAAATGAATGAACTTGGACCCTAACCTTATACCATATATGAAAATTAACTAAAAATGGATGAAAAACCTAGACTTATGAGCTAAAACTTATAAAACCTTTAGAAGAAAACATTGGGAAAAATCTTTATGATACTGGATTTGGCAATGATTTCATGGATATGATACCAAAAAGCATAGGCAACAAATGAACAACAATAACAACAACAACAACAAAAACAGATGAATTAGATTTCCTCAAAATTAAAAACTTTTATGTATCAAAGGGCACTAATCAGAAAGTGAAAATATAACCTACAGAATAGGAAAAAACATTTGCAAATCATATATCTGAGAAGGGATTAATATTCATACTACATAGAGAACTCTCACAATTCAACAATTTTTTAAAGACAACAAAAAATGTGCAAAGGAGTTGAATGCATATTTCTCTAAGGAAGATATACAAATGTCTGATAAGCATATGAAAAGTAGCTCAACATCATTAGTCATTAGAAAAATGCAAATCAAAACCACAATGAAATACCATTTCACACCTGCTTAGGATGGCAATAATAGTAGTAGGAAGAAGAAGGAGAGGAGGAGGAGGGAGGAAGAGAAGAGAGGAGAAGGAAGAGAAAGAAAAAAAAGCAGAAAGTAGTAAGTGTCAGCAAGGATATGGAAAACCTAGAATCACCATACATTGCTGGTACAAATATAAAATGGTATGGCCACTTTGGAAAACAGTCTGGAAGTACCACAAAAATTAAATGGAGAGTTACCATATGACCTAAGAATTCTACTCCTAAGTATATAACCATGAGAACTGAAGACATGTTCACACAAAAACTTGTACATAAATGTTCACAGCAGCATTATTCATTATTGCCAAAAGGTGGAAAAACCCAGACATTCACCAATTGATAAATAAGTAAACAAAATGTGGCATATTCATACAATGAAATATTATTTAGCTGCAAAAAAGAAACGAAGAACTGATAGATGCAACATGAATGAACCTACAAAACATTATGTTGAGGGAAAGAAGCCAGACATAGAAAGCCACATACTGTCGCATCCCATTTACATGAACCGTGCAGAGCAGGCAATCCAGAGACAAAAAGTGGACTAGTGGTTTCCAGGGCTGAGGAAAGAGGGGAGTGGGAGTGCCTAAAAATGAGTATGAGGTTTCTTTCTGGGGGATGAACATGTTTGTAATTAGTGGTGATGCATGCACAATTTTGTAAATATTCTAGAAACTACTAAAATGTATACTTTAAAAGTGTGGATTTTATGGTATGTGAATAATACTCAACTAAAAGAACAAAGGTAATAAAAACTCAAAAGTTTTTTTTGCAGCAATGGAAGAAAGCTCCCATTAAACATGACAAAATTAACATGTGTTTATCTCTACCTTACAGGAACTGCACTAAAATGACACAAGATAAAAAGGCCCAAACTCACAAGCACTAATAAGTCAGGAGAATCGAGAACAACCAACAAGCAGTGTCAACACAACTCTGGAATCTGGACAGTGAATGAAAAAGTGGTGACTAATACAGCCAAGCAAAGAGCGCTGAACCTAAGCCTATAAGGGAGAAGCCACTAGGAAACTCTGGTTCATACAACCGATTCTAGAAGGTTGCCACATGGCTCCCAAGGTAAGACATGGACGCCAGGGAGTAGAAACAGAAATCATAATTTATATTTTCTGGAAGGAAGCTTCGGGCCCCCAGAAATCCTAATCAGTAGGTAAGTACTCTTCTCTTCCCATGGACAACTGAAGAGAGTTACCCACTCAGGGTATGACAACTAGCGGTTCTGAAGGTAGGGAAATGCGGAAATTAAAACCACAGTATTCCATGTTAGAAAACAGATGAACAATGAAACTCTTGCTCCTTTCTCCATAAGAAGCTCTCAGAATGCCAGCAGACAAGGATTATTCCCTCAATAAGTTCTACACAACAGAAATAGTATAGACAAAAATCTCTGATACAAATGCAATCAAACCAGAAATTAATGAACTTTAACCAAAGGACAATTTACATTGTTTTAGAAACATCTAAAGGAAACTAGTTTACTAAATATAAACAGCCCTGTGACACTAAATTGGTAAGGAATACCATGAGACCAGCAATCTGGACAATGACATGACAGACACATTCATGCAATGCCTCACTTCTTACATCACCAACATGTGCCAAGGAGCCAGGGCCACCCAGCACCCTGTGCAGTTAGATAAATAATGATGAAATCTCAGAGAGGAAAGGCTCTGCTGTTCCTTTTCAAAGCACAATTGGTATTAGGAAGGGAGACATCGAATGAAGGACATGACCCCTTTCCTCACCTCCGTGGCCTTTGCTACACGACCCACTTAGGAACAGCTGAAGCCACAATTTTTAATGTCTTGCTGAATAGGCTGCCACAACAAATCAGTGTCAAAGGCTAGTCCCTTGGCCTTTCCCTATGCCTTCGTCTTGCCAGAAGAGGGTGAGTGAGGGGAGGGCAGCTGCAGATGGTGTGGAGATAGAGAGGGGCTGTGTGGGGTGGGGTGTTTTAGGCCGTTTTAAGAAAGGGTACGGGTGAAATCTGCAGGAAACCAGGTTCTGAGAACATTTTGAGAGAAAAAAAGGCAATGAGAAATCATGATATTTTAACACAAGCAACTTGGTTGCTGGTATGGAAAACAGACTGAAGGTAAAGAGGGGCAGGAGAAGAAGTCAGGAGAAAATCTAAGAAATTAAGCAATAATCCAGTCAAGAGATGCTATCACTCACTGTATGTGCATTGAGGAAGTATGCAGTGGCTGAGAATTCAATCTGATGAGCTGCACCCAAGCCAAGCCAGCAAACGGCCCACCCAGCAGAAGATGCCAACATGCCACTCTGCTACAGTTCACACAGTCTAGTGACAAGGTAATGAAGAGGCAGAATACATGAAAACACACAGACATGATAGTGTGTGTGCATCAAATGTAGCACCTGCCTTTTAGAGGTTACTCCTCCAACTCTCCGAGAACAACAACAAAAAAAATTGGCCATGTTCTGACTCACTGTGCAAGTTTCAACAAACGGAAGACAGGAAATCAACAGAAAGGCTTTCCACCCACTTGGCAATTAAATTAGAAATCATTAGCAAAAGATAACTTTGTAATCCCCCTAGACAGAACATCTTTTTCCATGCTTCTCAATAAGAAATGAACAACACAACATAATAATGAAATTAGAAAATAATTAGACCACAACAATAATAAAATTACTGCATGCCCAAATTTGAGGCAAGCAGCTAAGAGAAAGCTAACAGGAAAAGTTACAGCTTTAAAAGTGTATATTCTGAATAAAGAAAGGCAAAAATTAGTGAGAAAAAAATCTAAATTAAAAGTTAGAAAAATTACAAGATATCCACAGAAAGTAGAAAGAAGGTAATAATAAAGAATAGATCAGAAAAGAAACAAGATCCAACTGAGAAAATGAACAAATATAAAATTTATTTCTTAAAAAAAGGTCTAAAAACACACAACCTGCTGATGACATTGATCAAGAAAAATAATCCAGAAGGTATGGATGATTTAGTAATTTAAAGGAAGACAAAGATTTAGTAATTTAAAGGGAGACTAGACTATTTCTCTTTAGTCTTCCTGCTGAGTCTACTAAAACTGTGAACATTAAATATGAAAGAAACATGAAAGAGAAAAAATCAACAAATGCTAAACACTGAGAGAACAGGGATGTTAAAATTCTCTGACAAAGATGGTATAGCACCCATCACAAAAATGCTTCGAAGATCATTTATGAACATGCTTGAAGCAAATCTC